CTTCTATCTGCCCCACCCCCCTCATCAGAATTGCTAAACTCCACCTCTTTCCTTGAAAAACAAATCTTCCAGTTCCTACTTCTCACCCTCAGTCCCTGATGTTTTAGCAACCTATTCTCCCCTTGAAGATCCCAACCTCAATGCAAAGACCAACTATGCAAAACTCCGACTTGAGCAGCAATCAGCTCAGCTCGACCACTAACTTCCTAGTCTCTTAAATGCTAAATTTCTACCTGGGGACATCAGCCTGGTGTAGCTGAAATGAATGAATCTTTCCCAACTTTCTGAATACTGGACTACAAGTCAGGAGATCTGGGTTCTAATACTGGGTCATCTACTAGTTGTATAACCTTGTATGACTTAATCTCTACTAACTTCTGAGTTCCTCCTTGTTCAGAACATCTAGATATTCCTTGCTTGATTCCCATTGACTGCGGGACTAGTCACTTCACCAACCTAAGCCTCCTCATCCATAAGATGGGGATTCTAAGCCTTACCCCACCTCCCTCTCTCACAGGCTGGCTCTGAGGAAAGACTTTGCATACCTTAAAGCTCTATGTAAATGCGAATTACCATTCTATCCTACAAATTACTAAACAGGTATGTTCATCTTTAGACCCACTGCTCCATACAAATCCTACTGGACAAAAACTACAGCACCAAAACTTACCTCTCCAGGGCTCAGTTTGATTTTTTTTTTTTAAACATACAAAACCTCTCCATAAAGTGATTCCCTCCTGCAGGATTCTTATGCTTTCATCCTATCCTCTCCATACTTTTACATAAAGCTTTGCAGCTAGACAAAGCCTTCAAAAGGCCAATCTGCCACAACAAACTGAAAATCAGATTCATTTTTCAGTCAAAATTGAACATGATGAAAAGAGTCAAAGTCAGTCTGAAACCCAGCATTTGTACTTTGCATAGATTTGGTATTTTCTTTTCAGTACATGTTGTTTCCTCCAACAAGGGCTAGGCTCCGAGGGGGCAGGCACAGCTTGCCTTTTTTTTTTTTTTTTTTGGTCCTTATGTCCCCATCACCTTAATAAAGGTGCCTGAAAAATGCTTGTTGACTGACTGAAAAATGGGATGGAGTTAGAAGGGCTAAAAGGCCCTCCCTACTTTAAATCCTATGTTCTTAAATTGTCTCTTAGGGAAAAAAAGCACATCTCAAAATCCTGCCACAGCTAAAATAAACTTTCAACAACAATTAAGTTGAATGACCAGAACTTAAGGTACAGCATTAACCATTCTGAAACAAATAAAACGTTAAAAATTCTATTAAAGAAAACATTTGCAATTAACAACTAGGAATTATCACGCTGATTTCAGAGTACCAAAAGAAAATATATAAAATCATTTTAGTACCTATTGTCTATAGCTTTACAAATCGCTCTCCTCAGCTGTTGGTTATGAATGCTTGGTTAACTCAAGTCTGTTTCCTTAACTCCTCCTCCTTGATACAAACAGGATATGGGCTGTTATAGTAGAACTGACATTTTCCAGTTTTGATGTGTTGTTGTTGTTTTTTAATGAATACATTACAAAAATGAAAGGTCGTTTGGATTTTCTACAACAATAACAAGAAAGTGGCATCAAGATAAGATGCTTTTATAGTACTTCGATTTGTTTTGATTGAGTACTTTTGAAATGGATTTTTAAATAACCTTTTCTACACATGGCTGATTTGTGGAAGAGTCGCAAAAGAAGGATAGCTAATACCTTTTCAAGAAGGTCTAATTATGAAGTTAATACTGAGGCTTGCTTCAGTAGAGTGCTAGGCAACAATTTCACCAAGAATGGTCTACTTTAAACAGCTCTTCATATAAAAATCCATTACATGGCTCCCTACACAATCTTAGTTCTTATCCAATTTATCTAAAGGAGCATAAAAATAGGGGCAGCTAGGTGGCACAGTGGATAGAGTACCCGCCTTGGAGTCAGAAGGACCTGAGTTCAAATCTGACCTCAGACATATAACACTCACTAGCTGTGTGACCCTGGGCAAGTCACTTAATCCCAATTGCCTCACCAAAAAAAAGAAAAGAAAAGAAAAAGAAAAAGAAAAAGAAGCATAAAAATAGTGTAGGGTTTCTAGAAGCAATTAGTCAGTAAGCACTGAAGCACCTACTACAGACCAGGCTCTGAGCAGTGGTGATACAAAAAGAAATAAAAGGCAGTCCTTGCCCTGGAGGAACTCACAATCTAATGGGGGAGGAGACAACAAGCAAATAAATATACACAAATAAACTCTATGCAGGATAAATAGGAAATGATTAACAGAAAGAAGGCACTAGAATTAAGGTATTAAGAAACTGAAGAAATTAATAAAATTAGTGATTAATTTTATTTATTAATGTTTATATTATATAAATTTTATGTTTATATTATTAATAATTTAAAATTAATAATAAAACTCAAGATATTAATAAAATTAAAGAAGGTGGTATTAGAACAATTTGGAAACCACTATGTTGTTAGATTCTTTTGTTTCTTAGAATTGATTCTGATTTAAAGCATTAGGGTTGGTTTAATCCATTCAACATTTCTCCAGTCAATCTTACTTGTTAAACAGGACAGCATTTCTCAATGGGTTGCTGAGAAGATTATTTGTCTGCAAAATACTTTGAGGTAATCATCATTGGCATGGTACATTTAGAACAGGCTTTCATTTATTTGATCTTTACAACAATTCTGTGAAACAGAGAGGATATTATCTTCGTCTGAATTTAAGGAACTGAAGCCGTTTTCGTTTGTCTGGCTTAAACAGCTGGTTATGCTTAGTAAACCAGGATTAGTCATCTGTGTAGTCACAGTTCATCCCAATTTTCTAGCTCAAGTACTGATTGACACATGCAATTCAGGATGAAATTAAAGGACTCAATTCAAAGCCAAATCCTGGGGGGTTATAGGATGACTTAGACGCCAGAGCAGTGCTCTGTATTGTTAAGAAGTAGGAGGCTAAGCAACTCAGATAACAGTTAGTGATCGTTGATCCAGAACCACCCTACAAAGTTTACATAGTAGGGGGAGGAAAGACAAAAAAAAAAGACAGCCAACATTAAAAGAAAATTTTGTAGCATATCTTTTAAAAGTGCCTGCTGAAACATAACAATACAATGCAACAGCAAACAGCATCTTCGTGGTCAGACATCTAAAAAGTGTCGTTTTTTTAAAGGTAACTTTGGCAAGGAAAGAGGAAAACAATGAATAGAAGAAGAAAGTGAGGTCTATTTTCTCCAGCTATGAAACTCTTTTCTCCAAGCATTTCAAACAATGACTCAACACGCTAAACTATCTCCACTTAACTCTCCAAGAAACAATCTCACTCCAGTTCCTGTGATCTTGTAGGCACTACGGGAGGTGATTATTAAATGTGCTCAAGAAAATAACTGCATGTGGCACAGACTGGCATCACTCCAAAACTCTGCCTACCCATAACTTCCAGGGAAGCTTTGTTCCTCCAACACCCCCTCCCTCCCACACTTTCCATCCTTCCTGGTCAGAGCCTGAACTCTCATTTGGCAAGGAAAGATACCAAGTCCTTAATGGGGAGGTCTCTAAAGTACTTCTCAGCTCCAAAATATTTTGATTCTATGAAATCGGAAGTGGTGTGAAGACAAGCATGGTGAAACCATCAACAGCCCCACAGCCCAAACAAATTTAAGCCCTAGGATGAATCCCACATGCAGCCCTAAGGTGGGGTAAGGGAGAGCGGGGCAGTAGCAGAAACTGATCACAGATGTTGGCGTCTAGAGTGTCCTGGCAGGGGGTTGCCCTAGGGTTTCCTCCCACTGCCTTCCAATTCGAAAGGGCAGTTTCCTCTAGCAATCATCGAGCACCCTCAAACCTCCACTGTGCTTTGTATCTTTTTTTGCTGAGCCTGACAGTCCTCCATCACAGCTACTGTAGGGAAGTTTCCATGTGTATGGAATGAAGGAGTATTTCCAAATCTGTTTCCTCTGTTGTCTTCCTACGCCTTTCCAGATGTGGATTGACGGAGGCAAGTTCGTACATGTGTGCTGCGAGGGAAACAGCACGGGCCAGGAGTCAAGAGACCCCCGGTCTACCGCTAAGTAGCTGTATGACACTGGACCATCTACTTCACTTCTCTGGGGCCCAGTCTTATTCCTCGATAAAAATAAGAAAATTGGATGAAATGATCTCTAAGGCCCCTTCCAGGGGTAAATGTTTTAGGGCTCTTCCGCCCTGAGTTATTAACACTCTCTCCTTCCTGAAATTACTTTGTTAACTTATCTGCATTACACTTAGACTTCCCAGGAGAATGTAAATTCTTGGAAGGTAGGGATTGTTTCCTTTCTGTTCTTGTACCTCCAGCACCTCTGCACGTGGTAGACGCTTAATACAATGGCTTGCTAAATTGTTGAAGCGATCTAGAACCTCTCTGAGCCCGTCTCCTCATCTACCCAGTGGGGACGGATCACACACACGCCTTCAACGCTGCCAGGATAAAAAAGGTGTGACAACTTCAAAGCGCTCCCATTCCCGATATCATTTCTGTTCCCGCCTACTATCTGATGGAGGGAAATCAAAGAATGCTGGGTTCAAATCTCGGCTCTAGCACTTTGATATTTAGCAAGTCGTTCTCCTTCTCCGGGCCTCAGTTTACCCCCTCGATGATCTCTTAAACTTTCTATTCCAGCAACAAATTATGATAGGTTTGATACAGAAGAGGAGAGCCGGAGTCAGAGGATCCCAGATCTAGAGATGAAAGTGAACTCGGAGCCCGTCTAGTCCAAACCCTCGTTTTGTGGATGAGAAAACTAAAGCCCAGAGAGGTTAAGGTCACACAAGCAGTACCAGAGAGAGCATTTGGACTCGGGGCGTCCGATTTCAAAGCCCGTGCTTTCTTCCCCACGGTAGCACCCTGAGTTCAAATCTCTGCTCTGCCCCTTGGGACCAGTCACCCGGCCTCTCTTGGCCTCAGTTTCCCTCTGTGTACAATGGGGTGTCGAAGGGGCAGAAGGTCCGGACCCACGCACCTGCTGCTCGGCCGCAACTCCGGCTCGTCGTCCGGGTCGGGCTCCCGCGGCTCCTGCTCGCCCGCGGCCGCCGGAAGCGCCTCGGCGTCCTCCACCGTTACCTCGGCGGCTGCCAGCGAGGGCACCGCGGCGGCGGCCGAAGTAGGGGCGGCCGAGGCGCCCAGGCCGAAGGCAATCACATCCTCCGCCGCCGCCGGCTCCGGGGGCTCGGGGCTGCGCTCCGGCTCCGGGGCTGCGGCCGCCGCGGAGGGGCCCAGGGTGGCCGCCCCCGCCGCGAGCCCGAGCAGCAGCAAAGCCAGAGCGAGCGGGCCCCGGCGCGTCGCGCGCTCCATCAGCGGCGCCCCGCCCGCGCGGACATGGAGACCCCGCCGCCGTAATGAGCCTCTTCCCGCTCCTCAGACAAGCCCCGGGCCGGGCGCAGAAGCACACGGCGGCCGTGCCGACACCCAGACTGCTTTGACAGTCAGCTCGGTTCCCCGGGCCACGTCTAAGGCTCGCCTCCTCCGCGGCCCCCCGCCGCTGCGGCCGCTCATTGGGTGGCCTCCTCGCCCATCTTGGCCTTCCTCGGGAGGAGAGCCTATCTGTTAGTTCGAATAACTGCCACTCAGTGATCTGGGGCGGAGTCTTGGGGGGAGGGCGTGCTTTCTCTCGTTGTCAACACGGCGCGTGCCAATCAAATCGTACTTGGAGCTCCTGGAGCCCGTCGCTCTTCCGGGTGTGACTGACCAATGGAAGATTCCTCTCCCCACATTTTTCCTATTTGATTGGTGGTGCCTCTAGAACTCGCGGAAATTGATCTGGCACAGGATTGGTCAGAATACAGGTGATCACCTCCCCTCAGGGTGGGAAGTTGCAAGAATATAGAAAGATGATTGGTTTAAACTAACGCCACTCTGAGGGACGGCGGCTCCTTCTCTTTCATTGGCTGGAAGCAGCACTTCATACGTGGCTGATTTTGGCTGTCAAGGGGTGGGGCAGTGGCCATGACGCAACCGGGCAATTCCCAAGTGAGAGGGAAGGTGGAAGGCGGAGTCCAAGGTGGGGGTGGAGCCAACCTTAAAGGAGTCGTAGGTCGGAAAAAATCTTCAGTTCCTATTCGTGCCAGTAACGGAGGCAGATTAAAATGCCAAGTACTTTATAGTCACTCGTCCAAGAAGGAGGCCATCTCCACGAAGCTGCCCAGCCCAGTGATTCTGTATTAGGAAAAGCAGTTAGGGGAGACCTAGGTTCGAATCTCAGCTCTGACCTTGGCTGTGTGACCTTGGGCAATTCACTGAAGCTCACTGAAATCTACTTCATTGACTGTTAAATAGGTATAATTAACTCACAGGGTGGTTGGAGGGAAAATGCTTTGTAAACTTTAAAGTGACATAGAAATATAAATTATTATTACCATTCATTCAATATATCCTTTTCTGGACATCCAAGTTCTGGCACCATCTAATTACATTATCATCTAATCCATATTTCCCCATCTCCCCCACAAGAATATGATAATACTTATAACTAGCTTTTATACAGTGCCTACTATGTGCCAGGCTCCTATCACATTTGCTCCTCACAATAACCCTAGGAAGGAGGTGCTATTATTATCATCATTTTTCAGATGAGGAAACTAAGGCAAACAGAAATGAAGTGAAAACATTACCAAAAGGTTTGATAAAATGTAAGCAAACTATATCCACAGCATTCTCTTAGCCTACTAGGTAATAAGCCTGTCAGAAAAGGACATGGGGTTAGCTTGACATGATCTGTTCTTTGATGGAGCCAGGATGGTTCTTGGTCAAGTAAATGCTTCCCTTTCTAGACATTCACCAAGCATCTTTTTAATGACCCTTAGGACTAGGGTCAAGAAGATCTGAGCTCCAATCCGCTCATTGTGTGACCCCAAGCAAGTGGCTTAATCTCTTGTCTGTCTGTTTCTTCAGCTATAAAATGGGGACCACAGGAGCACCTACATCCTGGTTGTTGTAAGGAACAAATGGGATGATATTGGTAAAGTCCTTGTTCTAATAAATGCTTGTTCCCTTAATTCAATTCAATAAATGTAGGTGAAGCCCCTTCTGTGTGCAGAGCATTGTGGGGGATACAAATGAGGGCAATCCACTGTTCCTGCCTCTGAGAAGACATATCAAAGAATCATAGAACTTGAGATGTGGAAGGGGCCCCAGTGGCCATCTCATCCACCCACACTTCAAAAGAATCTTCTACTACACCATGCAGTGGTCTCACCCAGACTCTTCTTGAAGACCTCCTGTGAGGGGAAGTCCACCACCACCTCTCTGCGGCAGCTCTTTTCCATTCTGGCCAGATCTGATCAAGCCTAAATTTGCCTCTTTGCCATTTCTACCCGTTGTTCCTAGATCTGCCCTCTGAGGCCAAATAGTCCAACACCACCTCCATCTAATATCCCGAACGATTCTTGAAGTGAGCTGTCATGTTCCTCCACCCCAAGTGTGCTCTTCTCTACCTAAGCTTGCCCAGTTTCTCCCACCCAACCTCATGCTATTGTTTGACTTTCATTTTCAAAGAGGATCAATGACATCATGGCATAATGTCTTGACTTGTCCGTGAACTGGATGTAAGTAAGGCAGAGCTGCACAGTCATCAGCCTCATTATCTCTTACAGTCATCAAAGTCCAGCGGCAAGACAAAAATCAAGGCTCAGGATGCAGTGGATGAACTTGGTGACTTCCATGTCTGACCAAGCTCTGAGCCCTCCACAGCACCTGCTTCAGCTGCCTTCAGGGCTTTGGAGAAAATTGTCCTCATTTGCCCATTCTGCCAGGGAAGTCTTCACATGCTTGGGGCTGACATTCCCCTAACTCACCTACAGATATGAAGCCTGTTCATTACCCTCAATATGATATGACTCAAGGCCCTTCACTAGCCTGGTTACCCGCCTCTGGACACTTTCCAGTTTATCGATGTTCTTCTTAAGCTATGACACTTAGCAACACCTAGAATGGTCCAGATGAGGTCTGAAGAGGGCGGAGCACAGTGGGATGGACATCTTTGTTCTTGGAAGCTCTGTCTCTCAATTCAACCCAACTGAAGGAGCTTTTCTGGCTTCCGCATTACACTGCTAACTCTCACAGTGAGCTTGAAGGCCACTAAAAATCTCTAACTCTTTTCCAGAGTAACTACCATCTAGCCATACCTTGTACTTGTGATGCTTGTTTTTTGTTTTGTTTTTTTGTGCCCAGGTATAAAACTTAGCACACTGTGGCTTCCCAACTCATCAATTTTCACACCCTATTCTTCCTCACCACCCTTACCTCTAGTTTCTCCATCCCTCCCTGCTTTTCATTTCCATCACCAACACTCTGACCTCTCATCCCTTTGAAATCTTGACACTATGCTTAATCTTTTCAATTTTCCATTGCCTCCCTCTAGTCCTTCCCCGCCCCCCCATCACTGCTCATGCTTTTCCCAACCACAGCCCGGGGTTACCCCACTTTATGCCTTCTCTGCTGAAATCCACTACACAAGGTCACACAACTGTGCCTGCTGGGTCCCCTCCATATTTGTCCTGATTGTTTCATTACAATCTCATTGCTTTTCCCTAATTAACTCCCTATCATATTCTCCACCACAGCAATTCCCAACCTTCTCTTCTCAAACTGATTACACCAGACCTTTGCCCCTTCCTTCGCCCCTCATGAGCCTGTCCAAGAAAATCGAGACTGTCGGGAGTTCCCTGTTCTCCTCCCTCACCCCATCCTCTTACTCTCGCCTCAGAGGAAGACATGGTCTTCACCTTGCCAAGACCAATCCTCCCTGGGCTCTTCCTTCATCGCCTCCCATCTTCTCTAGAAGATTGTTTCTTCTATCACCCCCCTCCAATAAGAATAATAACAGCCAACATTTATCTAGTGCTTACTATGTGCCAAACACTTTACAATTATTATTTCCTTTGATACTCACAACAGCGATGTGTCTGCTCCATCCCATTGTTTCTCTCTAGGTATATCCCAGAGATCTGTCTGGGGCCCTCACCTGTTCCCTTGGGTTCAATTCTTATCTCTATATAGGTGACTCCCATATTGAAAGAAAGAGAGACACAGAGAGAGGGAAAGAGAGACAGAGAAACAGCCCATCTCTTTCTTGAGCTCCAGTCTCATACCACCATCTCCTTAGTCAACATCTCCTGCCATATGCCTCATCATCACTTCAAATTCAATATGCCCAAACCAGGATTCATTATCTTCTTCCCAAAGCCCACTCCTCTTTCCTTAATTTCCCTCTTTCTGCTAATAGCATCACTATTCTTCCAGTTGCCCAGATTCAACTCCCAGTCTCCCTTAGCGTCAATACCCAACCAGTGGTTAAGTTCTGTTTACTCTAGTTCCATGACATCTCCGCCATATGACTCTTCTCTCACTCCACAACCACCATAGTTCAGAATCTCATTATCTCTTACCTAGACCAGAAGTGTCCAACACACCAGCCTACGAACACTCCCATATAACCCAACCAGATTAAAATATAATTGGGAAATATTTAACAAAATAAATAAAAATACAATAAAACATAATGTTAATATGTGATTTTGTTGGGATTTTTTTTTAAGTTCTAGACTCCACATTTTATTTTATTTTTTAATTAATTTATTTTTAGTTTTCAATAATCACTTCCATAAGCTTTTGAGTTTTAAATTTTCTCCCCCTCCTTTCATACCTCCCTCCATACATCCCTCCACTAGACAGCGTGCAATCTGACATAGGCTTTACATATACGTTCCTATTAAACGTATTTTCACATTAGTCATGTTGTAAGGAAGAATTAGAACCAATAGGAGGAACCACAAGAAAGAAGAAACAAACCAAAACAAAACAGAAGAAAAAAAAAAGAGCAAATAATATGCTTTGATCTGCATTCAAACTTCATAGTTCTTTCTCTGAATGTGAATAGCATTTTCTATCATAAGACCTTTGGAGATGTCTTAGATCCTTGCATTGCTGAGAAGAGCTAAGTCCAATAAAGTTAGTCATCACACAATGAGGCTGTTACTGTGTACAACATTCTCCTGGTTCTGCTCACTTCACTCAGCATCAGTCCACACAAGTCTTTCCAGGTTTTTCTGTTT